ATATGAATTTTACAGCAAATATTCATTCATTAGTTAGCCAGGCCGAGTTTTTTGTTCAGTTGGGCATGATGGTGGATAAAACAAAATACACGGCCTAATTAACTCATGAATGAATATTTGGTGTAAAATTATCATCAATGCTATAAGTGTACCTACCAGTTTGTCCACCGATTTTGATTTCAGTCTTTTAAGTCGCACGTTCAATCCTTTTTTGCTCGCACCTTTTTTTTCACACCTAAGGTGTTTTTTTGATTATATATCACGAATTTTTGTTAATACACAACAACAAACCACACCAAATAAGAAAGCAACACTCGATAGTAACCAACACTAGCTTTAGGATCGCAACCCTATTATTCCGAACAGACCTTTACTTTACAGAACCAACCAGATTCTTTAAAATATATGGTGGTAGTTTTTCTTCTCTAAAAGTGTTAATAACTTCCTTTATACTAATGCCATGGAATTTAGATTAACAGTTTCTTTTAATCACCCCCATGCAATTGGTACAGCCGTATCATGCTAATTGCTTAAACTAATATCACGTGGATTGCCTTAAAATTTGGTATTTGAGGTAATAGTCCAGTAGAGCACATTCACTGAAAATATGTGATAGTTTGGATTACACAGCCCAGCTACAGAAGATGGAAAATAGCTAAACTACTGTATGTCTTGAAAGTAAGAAACATATTCGGCTAAGTCTTTTTTTTTTTAACGTGTAACCGAATCTGAACATAATGTAAAGATTACAGTGGGTTTATGATAAAAGTAAGCTAAGATCCTTCATAAAAACTTCGATTTGAATAGTTTAGTTATCGAGACGAAATCAAACATTGGATCCCTTACAGTTGAGCTACAAAAATGTGTTATCGGATGAAACACATCAGAATTACCAAACGAATAAACCTATGTAACTATCATAACGTCATAGTCTTCACTCGATAGAAATAAAAATCTTTCTAGGCAAGTTGCATTGAGATCATTGAGATCACGTAAATCCTACGCGTATTTTTACTTCATAAATTTATTTATATTGAAACAAAATAACCTTGTCTAACTACAGTATGATAGAACCATTTTTACGTTGATCTATCAAGTTTTCTTGGGCTAGTGTTTAAAGATTCAATGTGAACAAAGAAACCGAAAGTGTTGGTGGACTGATACCTCCTCTACATTTTTGCTGTTACTTTGTATGATTATGACTTCGTTTTCGAATTTTCGCACAAAGCTATTTGATGGTTGTTTGTTTTAGCTGTCGCTAATTTAGAAGAGACAGACTAGAGGGAAGCCAGCTAGTCATCACCACCCACCGCCAATTCTAATTGAATAGAGGGATTGACCGTTACATTTTAACACCCACGTGTTTTTCAGCTTAAGAAGTTATTCACTTCCTTCAGAAATAATCTTAGAACATTTCGTTAGTACCAGTTAGCCCCCAGTAGCACAGCGGTATGTCTGCGGACTTACAACGCTAGAATCCGGGTTTCGATACCCGTGGTGGGCAAAGCACAGAAAGCCCATTGTGTAGCTTCGTGCTTAATTACAAACAAAAAACGAACTTAATGACGCGTTACGACGAAAGAAAAAAAAGAAAGAAGAAATGACATCTAGTTGTGTAGGTTTTGGTTGTTTAAGAAATACAATTATAAGAAAGTTCTCTCACGTTCCTAGTTAGATAATAAACAAATAGCAGGTGAAATAATATTACTTAGACATATTAGTTGTGCTGCCTTTGTATTTAGCTGAGTATAAAAACTGACAAAAAGAATCTGCTTATAGCAGCTTAAACTTTATAGATAATGATCAGTCGAAGCCATTTTGCGGCGTGACCAAGCTTACTACGAGACTGCTCAATGTACTGAATGAGCATTTATGATGCAGTATTCACAAGCTAATTTAACTCATTTCAATAGCATATACATCTCTCTTGTGCGTGATTAATTGACAACGTAAACTTTAGTCATAGAGGTGAACAATAACAGGTTAGCTTCGGTTGTGATAATATCGCGCGCGATTTCACCCAGACTCGCTCGGGTAACCATGATGTAAGCAATCACGAATTGCTGAAGAATTGGAAATGATGGGGAAAGAAAAAAAGAACGTCGCCAAACGCCCAAGCCATGTTTTGAAGTAATGAGGGAGGACAGGGTTTATTGATTTCCGGTGTCAAAACCTCCCACATCTCTTGCACATCTCTGGTTCCCACACCTGCAAAATTACAATGAAGTGCATCAAGTTACACCCTTGTCTTGTGGGCAGAAGGAAGAATGTTGTTATTTTGATTCTCACACACGTAGGCTTTTTCTCACACCTACCCAGGAAAGTTTATATATTTAAGTTGATCATTCTGATGTCAACTATACTCTAGTTCTATTACTACTAAACTTGACTGAATTCCAGTTAGTAGGAGTGATTGATTTATATGAATATCGGATCAGGAGGCGTTAAAAAAAATTGCTTGTTGAAAATTCAAAAGCTGGAACACTGAGATACGAATGATTGTTTTGGCGAGGGAATAACTGTACCATATAAAATATGTATTTTAAAACATGTCAGTATATGTGGAATTCGTAACTATTTTTCGAATTAGTGTGTGTTTTGAATTTCGCGCGAAGCTACACGAGGGCTATTTGCGCTAGCCGTCCCTAATTTAGCAGTTTAAGACTAGAGGGAAGGCAGCTAGTCATCACCGCCAACTCTTGGGCTACTCTTTTACCAACGAATAGTGTGATTGACCGTCACTATATAACGCCCCCACGGCTGAAAGGGCTAGCATGTTTGGTGTGATGGGAATTCGAACTCGCGACCCTCAGATTGCGAGTCGAGCGCTTTAACCACCTAGCCATGTCGCGCCTTTCGAATTAGTATCACTGTACATAAAACAAAATGCTTTCATGTCTTTTTCAAGCATTTACGGAAGCTTTCTGTTCGTCTCTTGTGAATTTTATCCTCTCTTGTGCATTGAATTTTATATTTTTCGTGTTAACCGCAAGAAGTGTACTAATTTAAAAACAGGAAAAAGTTGGATTTTATTTAACTTTTTTATCTTCTAAACTGGGCTAAAAACGTTATATTCTCAAAAATATTTAAAAGACCGTTTTATTACATTTTCGTTTTTATTTCCAATAAACAGGCTATTTACTACGATTTAAAAAATGTAATAAAGTCAGTTTTATTGACTTTCTGGTTTTGATAATAGAAAGGTAAAACCATAATCACCAATAACAGTTTAATCCCCCCCCCAAAAAAAATCCTAAATGTATAATTTAGTGTACAAAGCCAACAAATAATTTTGTCTAGTATTTAATAAATGAACATAAGTAATAGGAATAAGTAATAGTCTTACATTCTCGGGTGATTACGAGAGAAGGAAGGAAACCGCTGAGATTCTAAAGTTTATAATGCATGACTAGTTACAGTTATGATCTAACCGAAACTTAAAAATCTTTTCCCACGACATTACCTTATTGACTGAAGTGTTGTTTGTGCAACTTCCGCTTTTTCTCACTTATGGTTGCTCAAGCAATAGAAGATATTAAACCCAATTATATCTTTTCGCCATTAATTTTACCAAGCTTCACTTAGCGAGCTAGGAAAAAAAAAAATTATTCGTGGTAATAAAGACGCATTGTTTACGTCCTGCTCATAGACCAGGAAACGGTCTTATCTCTGGACTTGTTGTTCAGGTAATGAAGAGCGATTAAACCTCAAAATTGGCCTTGTTGTTCCAGGTTCTGCTAATGTACTGACTTGCCCATGTCTAATAATGCATGTCTTTCTTTCAGATTTGATTTAGGGAGGCCGTAAATATCTTAAACAAGTATAAAGAAAAAAAAAAGACTCTACAATTCAGGTAGTAAATGTGAGGTTTGTAGTAGAGTATGGGTAATTCCCAAACACTTTTGACTAATATCAGGTATTAAAACAAAACGAAGATAGTTTCGAAAACTGACAAACTTCATGATTTGTGTTATATTACTGACAGCAATGTTTACAGAATAACAGTGGGTTATTTGTATTTGTAGAATCTAGCTTTACCAATAAAGGTTTGGATAGTAATTTAGATGGATGAAGACATGTATGAAATCTTTAAAACAGTCAATGAATATCAACATTATAAAACGACATTACAATGTAAATTAATCATTTAGAAAGAACATCTATTACAAACAGAAAATACGTTACTGAAATTGCAACTATAAGGAAATTAGAATTGAATTATGTTCGAACAGTTAGGGATAAGAATAAATAAAAGCTGTTTGTAGTTGCATAGTAATAAAGTGGCATATTAGAAATATTTGTGTTGATTTAAGTGTTTCATAGTACAATCTGAAATGAGCTTTACTATCATTTCACACTAAATTACTGTAATAATTTATTTTTTACATAGTTCACTACCGGTGGGATTCACACACTGCACTAGTATTATGTTTTTGCCTGCTACGACGCTCAATTTAAAAATCTAACCACAAAAAAGTGTTTGTTTGTTTTTCAATTTCGCGCAAAGCTACACCAGGGCTATCTGCGCTAGCCGTCCCTGATTTAGCAGTGTAAGACTAGAGGGGAAGGCAGCTAGTCATCACCATCCACATCCAATTCTTGGGCTACTCTTTTACCAACGAATAGTGGGATTGATCGTCACATTATAACGCCTCCACGGCTGTAAGGGCGAGCATGTCTGGTGTGACGGGAATTCGAACCTGCGACCCGCAGATGGCGAGTCAAGCCAAAAAAAAAGTGAAATTCCTCATTGTCTATGTAAAATACCCAGAGGATCCTAGCAATATTTACTGTGGTTAATTTCAGTATTAACGGCATTTTTGTTTGATACGTGTCTCAAGAAAGTCATGGTTTTACAATATACTTGGTTCATAAACAGTTTTGAAAAATGTGTTTATAAAGTCGACGGAACGATCTCGAACCTGGTACATATGGACCCAGCGATATTTCTAGGGTTGCATTGTGAAAACATTTTACCGTTTTAAACCAGAAAAACTTACCCGTAGAACACATATTTATGAAGACTTCTGCGTGTCCTCTGGTCTTTCTTCTTGCTTCTTCACTGAGTGGAAGTCTGTGAAGTAGTGGTTCTAGAAAGTCGTTGGGAATAACAGCATATATATCCCACTTTAGTCGACTCAACACCAACAATTCCCAGCTCTACAGAAATAAATAACAAGTGGTTCTTTAAAAACAACAACACAGTAAACCAATAATTGATTCACTTTGAATTATAAAGTTAAACTGAGGGGTTTCTACTAGTATAAACAACGTGTATGAATTTTCTGCCTTAATGCAGGGGTTCCCAAACTGTGGGGCCTCGGACTCCCAGGGAGTCGGAGAGAATACACAAAGTATACAATACTGTAAAGGTGCTCAGTATCTATAGTTACACTGGGTGGGGGGCCTCAGTCAGGAAACGGAATGTTCTGGGAGGCCTTGTGTCACAGTATCCGCTACAGTAGGTACATAGGATGGAAAAAAATTACATTTCCGCACATATATAAATATTGGGTAAAACTGAAAATCTTTGAAGCAAGTCTGTAACTTAGAAGTAATTCTTTTATGTTTAACTTTAAATTTCGGTATGAAAACGCAATACATCAGCGTTATCAGTAAATTTAACTATACTAAAATACATTTTATTACAATTTTAAACTTTTCCCCACTAATAATAATTGAATCATATATCAAGTTGCTTTGAAACATGCGTATATGGGCAACCGCATGAATAACTTGTCGTCGATAAATAAATCTAAGCTATTGACCTCACACATTGATAAGGGTTCAATCCAGCAGTATTCATTACGTCACTTAACTTTAAAAAAAAAAACGTAATTAATCTACATATTTGTAAGAAATTATTGTATACCTAAAACGTTGAAACATGTACACATAAATAAATATGCATAAAAATTACACATAAGTATTTGTCAAAAGTCTTGCAAAAACAAAAACACTAAAAAACGAAGATAGAAAACTGTCGTCGCTAATTAATTTAGCGAATTAATTGGGCGAATCGCTTTCACAAAGTACACAGTTAAATCTAAAAAATAAAAAAAAATGTCCTCAGAGGATGTTATTTCAGTCAAAGTTTTATTTAGTTTCTGTATAAGTTAATAGCCTTTGAATTTCCTGAGTAAATAATACTGACTGCTTATCAATAGATGAGTCTGTCCTGTAGCTAGTGAATGACGTAATAACTTTTCACCAAAAATCGTGATAGAAGCAGATGGATACGTTAGACATCACTGTTTCGATCTCAAGTAATTTTCAATGGTTCTTTTATCTGTTACTGAAGGTTTGGCGGCATTACCAGTATAAAGGTATCTGAAACAATAGAATGATAAAAAAAATACTATAAAGAGTATGAACAAAAAGTACACCCTTAAAGGCGCCGAAAATATCTAATGTCGCTTCGGTTTAAATGGGATCAATTTGTATATTCTTATGATACGGGACTTCTACATAGCCTTCAAAGATATACGAGTAGAAGGCTCCGAACAGTTTCGGGTGAAAGTGATTATCAAGTATAGAGTTGATCAATCCGAGGATGTGTTGTCCAGTTGTTGTTTTTTCTCTCTCTCTCTCTCTCATATGTTTGATATGAATAAACAAGAACAAACTAGAACATTATGTAAAATTCTGTAGACGTAACTTAATATTGCAAGACTCGTACTATACATTAGAGAGTATGAAAAACAGGCTATCATAACGTTTCACCTCGTCTAACACTTCAACAATAAGACTAATTCATGCACTTTACACGTTTACAAAGTGATAAAAACGCTTATGTTCGACATGAAACCTATACATACTATACAAGACTCGTTAATTATAATAAGACTGATAACAATTTTGATTATACTTCTCCCCCACCCCACTTCATTGTCAACGAGGTATTTCGCTTAGTATCAGGACTCATCAAGTCGGCTAATGAGGGCTATCTGCGCTAGCCGTCCATAATTTAGCAGTGTAAGACTAGAGGGAAAGCAGCTAGTCATAACCACCCACCACCAACTCTTGAGCTACTATTTTACCAACGAAGAGTGGGATTGACCGTCACTATATAACGCTCTCACGGCTGAAAGGGCGAGCATGTTTGGCGGGACGAGTATTCGAACCCGCGACCCTCAGATTGCGAGTCGAGCGCCCTAACCACCTTGCCATTGCCGAGCCAGAACAGGCTGGATTGTTTTACATATATTACACAAATCACATAATGTATCGCCAGTCGAGGTTTTAACACACTGTAAGACTTAGTATCATGTAAATGACTGATATAAAGTAGCTTTGCGCGAAATTCAAAAACAAACAAACAAATCCAGCCTGTTTTGGCGATTACGGAAACTGGCTCACTGTATTGTTCAAACAATACATCTACTAAGTTATGCTGTCATTTACATTCAGATCATTATATTTTCAATACCAATCAATGTGTTTTTAAACATATGTATTTTTGTTCCTAGCTAGATGCCCTGTAGGGTGAGTTACAGCGAACCTTTCTCCCCAATAAAGAAAAACGATAACACAAGAAATCTTTTTTTTTTCTTCATGATTATTTTACATGAACAATGAGTCAGTCTATGATTATAAATGTTCAGATTGTCCATATCTGATTATGTAAGCATCCCCACAAGAAAAATAGCGAAATAAAATACAACAGCATTAGTATCGTCTTTAGTATCTTTATTGAGAGGTTTGCTCTGGGTCACCCTGTATACTGCGTAGCTAATCATTTATATATTTACAGCATTGCTACCAGCAAGCTTTATCGACGTCTTTTCAATGATTTTGGACGAAAACGAAGATGAAAAAGGCTTGGTACATATGATTCGATCCACTCCTCTAGTTCTTTTAACAGATACAAACAGAATTTCACAGTTACAAAATATTCAAGAACTAATCAATACGGTGATACTACAGCTTCGTTTAGAATTGCAGGTTTTTATGACAGTCATATAGAAAGAAATAAGAGTACATAAAAGTACAACGAAATCTTTATGATATACTTTGCATTGGTATTTCCACACGTATACGCAACAACTTTGGTAGAAGTATTTAGTGAGAATACTTCAATTATTTTAAGATGTATCTCACTGACGTCACAAATACTATTATGTCACAGTACTGATTAAGTAATATTTTTAACATATATATGAATTTTTATACACTGTTGATACGACACAGATACATACATCAATACATAAAGAGTTAACAGGATTGGCATTTTGTGTAACACACATAACCGACTTCTGCCGTTAAGTAGCATATTTGCGCTTAAATTGTAGAGATCAACTTTCATTACAATTAAGTTCAACAAAATAACCAACTTACCAGTTTTGGAAAAGTGAAAACTGGCATAATATTGTCGATGTCTGCGTTTCTATAGTGAAAACTATAATTTTACAATTTTTCTTTAAAATGTGTGTTTTTACAATAAAATCAACCTGTCCAATATTTTTGAAAGACCATTATCTAGCGTAAGTAAAACGTCTGTATTTTTCTGTTTTCTCCTCTCATTTGGTGTCACGATAACACGTGTGAACTTCAAAAACCAATTTGTCTCGGAATTTTAAAAGAAGGGTTAGTTGGTTGGATGTTTCAGCGAAAACTACACAGTAGGCTATCTGCGATTTGCCCAATGACAATCTATATAATTCCAATAGTACTCAAGCCACTTTATTCACTCTACAGTGATGTCAAAAGTTTAATCCTTGATGTATCCAGTCATATTTAAACTTTCTTTATAGCTGTTTCAAAAGCTGTTTAAACAAGAACAAGTATATTTCTATAACAAAGAACTCACATTTTTTTAAAAAACAAACAATGTTGTTGTTGTTTATCACAAAGCTACACAATGGGCTATATGTGTCCGCAGAGGGATCGTAGCCCAAAATCCTGAAGTTCACCACTGATCCGATGGGGAACAGCTGGGTTATTAATTTCAGTATAATGTTCCATGTATGGGAAGTTCTTGTTAAACTTATGGGATGTTCTTGTTAAACTTATGGAAAGTTCTTGTTAAACTGGTGTTCTTGACTTATTGAATATCACTTAGATCATATAATCATACTTTTGTAATGGATCCTTGTGGTGTCTTGGTATGGCCTGGTGATTAGGGCGCTCGACTCGCAATCTGTGGGTCGTGGGTTCGAATCCCTGTCACCGAACCTGTTCGCCCTTTTAACCGTGAAGGCGTTATAATGTTATGGCCAATCCAATTATTCGTTGGTAAAAGAGTAGCCCCAAAAATTGGTGGTGGGTGTTGCTGACTAGTCTTTCACTGCTAAATTAGGGACGGAGAGGAGATGGGCACTACCATGTAATTCTGCCCGACAATCACCGATAATGCATTAGCATCTCAGGTGCCCCAACGGTCGTAAGCGGCCTCGGGGCTCAAAAAGAAACACAAACTGTGGGTAAGCCTACTACAGCGTGTTTTTTTTTTATTTTTAACGATGTTGTGTTTATTCTGGTATAACAACACAATTCAAAGACACTAGAGTTCAACATATATGAAAACGTTTTAATACACAGCCCTAAATCGGACCTAAAATATTTACTAGAAAGTTCATTGTTGATAAAAGTGAACATTTTTCACATGGTATGGAGTGATGCTTAATCGTTCTTGATATTCGTTGAAAACAACACTCAGTGGAGGACTTGATTTTTTTTTAATGCGCAGAAATTTGTTGATCCGTTGCTAAGATCGTCAGCACGTATATGAATATTTAGGAAATCATATATATACATACATGCAGTCTCCAAAGGTTGACTAATGTTTCAAAAGGACACGTGGCGCACCCGTGCTGGGATGATGCCCATTATTTCGTTCTTTTGTGTCTCCACGCGACAGAAGGTCTGCACAGGTAAGTTAGATCAGACCCTTAGACTATTTCTCCAGATTTTACCCAACAGCACAACAACGGCCAACCAAGTGAAGTCCGTGATAAAAAAAATACAATCTTAAACCACCCGGCTGATGCAGTGTGAGCACATGCACACCTTTTGCTTTGAGACCCTCTTTTCCTTCCCCCCTTCTGCATTTGGAGCGGCTTTAATTCCTTCTATTTCAATTTCCTTCAGTACCCTTAAACTGATTTCAAAAGAAGACAGAGTAGTTTTAAGTATGGTCACATACCGTTCCACCAGAAACG